TTGCCAATTCTTTTTGATTTTGAGAGTCTTGATCAAGTAATGCCTTCAATTCTGCATCTTCGAAAACCTTCTCTCTTCCACCGCTGGTCTTCGACGTGAAAATCATCGTTCTTGAAGTGTTGAAACCACTTATGACACGTTCTTTCACTAATAGCGTCTTCACCATAAATATTTGAAAGCATTCGATGAACCTCAGTCGCAGATTTCTTCATATTGAAGCAGAAAATTAAAACCTCCCGCAAATGACAAGAATTTGGCTCGTAAACTGACATTTTCAATCGAGAATAACTTTATGATGCAGACACAAATCGACTAATGTTTCTATGGGGATTATGTTGACAGATTCCCAAGTTTATTGTGTGACGTCTATGATCTATTTATTTCGATCACCACTTACCGCTAAAGCCATCTATACGAAAACCGAATGAGCAAAGTCATACACCTAATATATTCCAAAAAGTAAATAAATGAAATCTGTGCTACTTTTATTATCCGTCCGTTCACGCTGGGCTGCATTCGGATTCTCATCCGGGTACTCCTCGGATATCATGTCATATTTGTTAATGTTCAGTAAATAATAAGGATGATACGACATCCGGGGAGCACAGGTGAAAATCTGAACGCAGTCCTGTATGAACAGAGTTCGGTATTGGTGCCACCATTATGTAGGCATAAGTCACGTGGCACTAAAGACAGAGAATGAGCTGCGCAATGCGTATCTAACTAGCATTTAAATACAGTTGACAATAATAAGAGAGAGGAAAGATGGAAGACAGCCAATCTCTCTCTTATTCTTGCTCTCATTACACCGATGAATGAAAAGAAACATGATCATCTTCTGGTTCCTCTCGCTTTTATCGATCATTTTCACATGCGGATCGCGCAGTCGTAACACAAGTTGGATCATGAAATACTATAAGAAATTAGGACCTACACACACATACACGTATATATATGTATATAAGGATGGTCTACTTAAATCGAACATCTTGAATATTTCGCTTATTTTTAATAATACAAAAAATGTTTCAAATGAAATTGTAACGATTTCAAGGAGGACGTATTTCGGACACATATACATATATACCATCCTGTATATATGTATATGTGTTAGATGTAAATAAATCATTAATTTTGAAATTTATCATTTATTAGAAACAAAATGAATTTCTTTGCAGAGCGTTTAAAGGACTTATTTCATTATTTTTGGAAAGTTTCCCAAGCTTTTCTTAAAATAATAATAAATAAGTATTTTTTTATGAATTTATGGACTTTCTAAAAGACAACTGCATAGTTTTAAAGGTGTCCATTCAGGGCCAATTTTGGTCATTTTTACACTCCCTCCTTTACACGCGATGATAAAATGATTGCTTCTTATTTGAAAATTATTGTAGTCAATATTTTCATATTATAATTTTCATCTTAAAAATTAAAGACATTCTTATTAAAATATTTAATGTATGTAATTATGCATGGATTCTATGAAAGTGTCTCTCTTTGCACCAATTTTTGATGCAAATCTGATAGCATGGACGAATAACACGATTTAACGTCAAATTCTCTCTGAAGTGCCATACATATCCTAATGATTGTTTCAGACTGAACACGATAACATATTAAAAATTTGCACATTAGAATTTAAAATAAAATGAGAAAAAAATGCATTTTGAGTATGTGCCAGATTCCTCCTCCAGATCTATTTTGAGTATGTACCAGATTCCTCCTCGAGATTCCTCCTATTTGCGGTACACTACATTGGTACATCACGAGATCTGAAAAGCGCGATGTACACGCATATACGTGAGGAACTTTTTGTGTGTAATAATTCAACTGTAAAATAATGAACTAATGATTAACTGATAGAAATTAAACAGCTCGTAAATTTCCAGCCCGAGTGTTTGCGGGTGATTGCTGCTACGCGACGATTGTCAGTAGAGGATGAATTAAAAACAGTAGCATGATTGAGTGATATATTCAATCTCAAGACACATTCGAATTTGAGTATAAAATAGTAATAAATTCAACTTTATTTTTTCAACTTTGTTTTTTTTTTTGATAATTATGTCTATTATGTCTATCTATTTGTCAATATTTAACAAATTGTGAGATAAGCAGATGATTTAATAAAAATTATTTCGTCTATATAAATCCCTCCCCCCTCTCTCTCTCTTTGGTAGAATATATATTCTATATACATATACAATATATTCAGAATCTTATAATCAGGATATTGTTTCATCTATATATTCTATTGTAAATTTAGAGACAATTATGTCAGACATTAAATGTGAGATAACGATGAAGGTGATAAATATGTTATGTTTTTTAGTTTTATATGAAACAGTTGTTGAATTGCTCGGTAAGAAATATAGGCACAATTAAAGGTATAATATGGCAAGTGGAACGTGATCTGTAAATGTATAAAACATTTTAATGTAATTGCTAATCTGTGGTGTTTGAACGTTTTCACATAATTTATTTTAATAAGCATAAAGTATAATCTTTTGCTCTTAGACAAATAAGAGCTAAGATACTTCTACATTGTTCTGAAAATAGCATCGTTGATATGTGGTTGGAAGATAGAAATTGAGCCTAGTGCACGTGTTTAAACTCGACGAATTTAAGCAATGTATAGGGTATCTCAATTACTGTACCAATCCTTATAAGTGTGCTTTTGTATTTCGATAAGTCATAAAGAAAACTAACACAAATAAATAAAAAAAAATATTTTTCTTTGCAACAACCGGTGACAAAGGTGAACCCATGAAGGTCTCAAAAATCTGCTTATATATTTTTTTATTAAAAATGAAAATCGTCGAATTCAGAACCATACGAAAGGCTATCAAAAACTCGTCCAAAGGAATCTTAGTCTTCTTGGATATAGCATCCCACCTTACAATCACACTATCAGATGCCAAATCTATAGGTATATTAGTAAACAGGGATACCACATCCAAGGAAACCAAAACAGAATCTGATTCCAGTTTTACATTATTAAGTTTATTAATTAAATAAAAGCTGTTTTTTATGAAACTAGGCGTCTCCGGTATAGAATCTGCAATAATGTTATGCAAAAATAATGACAAATTATATAATGGGCTATTTAACGATGAGACAATAATTCTCAACGGATAGTTTTGTTTGTGTATCTTCATCAAACCATAAGCTCTAGGAATGACTCTATCAGTCGTACGCAACCTCCGATACGTCAAGTCATCTATTAACCTTTTCCTTTCCATCTACTAAGCAAGTTACGTAAATCACCTGTAAGTTTTTTGTAGGATCTTTAGTTATTAATTCATATGTATTTTTATCCGAAAGTATCAATTCCATCTTGAATATGTATTCTAATTTATTTTGAGCAACGGTGACATTATTAGCTTTGGAAATTAATATTTCAGGATGATCTTTTACAAATAATTTCGTTGTCCTAAACCAATCGAGCAATAATTTGTCATTCGAGCCGATTTCCTAGGAAAATCATTCCGAAACTTATCCATAATTGAAACACTATTGCTTCTAACAAAATTAATTATATTATTCCGATGGCCAATAATATTATTCTCAATATTCTTAATAAATTCTATCAATGTTCTATCA